GGTAATTTAAAAAACCTATTGTTCGCGTTATTTTTGTACTAGCTGACCCGCGCAACTTCGTCTGCGGGTCTCAATAGTAATAAATTTTCTCAGTTTTTGAAACATTCTTCATTGGTGCTCCGCTCCTATTGGTCTTAGCGTGATGATATATAGCCTATAGCCTTCCTCGATAAATGGGCTATCTAACACTGAAAGAATTTTTCAAATCGGAACAGTAGTTCCTGAGATTAGCGCGTTCAAACAAACAAACAAACAAACAAACTCTTCAGCTTTATAATATTAGTATAGATATTATTTTTGTAAATCAGTTCATGTTTGCCTCGTGAACAGTAACACCCGACACTCATCTCACATCTTTTGCACAAAAAATACCTTACCTCTGACAACGTGTAACTACCTGTATAAAATGAAAATCGATAAATTAGTAGTTATGGCTTGGAAGAGTAACTAAGAAACTAACATTCGCATTTTTATTATTGGTTATGATTGCAACTTTCTTCAACAATACTATAAAAATAAACTAGCATCATAATTATGTATCCAGAATAAGGTGTTAATTAAAAATAAAACGAATACATACAAGTGAGATGCTATTAGACGTAGTAGTGCCTGAGTGTAGTTCACTCTATTACTGGAGGGCCGGATATTAGAAATGGACGCAATATCCTGTTCTGATTTGCATAGCAATCAATTTAATGACGAATTAACTTCATGGATGGAGATCGACTCTCGACTGATTGATGCAGATAGACATTAACATTTTGGATGGTTTATACTTAAAGCGGCTCATTAATTTATCAATATTTTTTAAGAGAGCAGAGCCTTCAAATGTCTTTCACCATGGCGCTCAATGATATTTAGTAATCTTTACTACAATTAATGCGATTTATGCGTATTTAATGTACCTTGAAATTGGGTAATTTAAAAAACCTATTGTTCGCGTTATTTTTGTATAAATAACTATATGTTGGAATTGTTTGAGTTAATTAGTTTAATACTTACATTGTTGGTAAGATATTCATACCCTTCGACTTTCCCTGCAAACTGATATTTATTTAATGTTAAATTTTATCCATCATCAATCATGTGATCTCATTTTGTGTAATTATATTATCGTGCATTTATTTCAAATTTCACAGGTGTGCTAATCATATAGAATCTCACCCAAACTAAAATATATCCAAACTACACTTGTACATTGAACTGCGTTATAGATATTACCTGCAGCAATCCACTGAAATGTGATACAATAAATATTGACAGTACTAGTAGACAGCAGAGGATTGCGGGCGGCTTTTACTATCTAGATATTTACAGCTAGTCCAGTTCGCTCGCTTGGGAACTTGGGTGCCCTCGGGACCGTCTCGAGCCCCTTAATCACAAGGAGCGCCAGAGTTTAGTCGTTGTAGTGCGGTAGTTTTACAGTATTAAATTTGATCTTGAAAAAGGTGGATCAAATCAATACGAAGTGTAGTAATTTATCAAATGAGTATACGAGTAATAATTCTTGTATAAAAATGCAAATTGCTAAGAAGTGAAATATTGTGGAACCAAATCCTACGCTACGGAAATCGTTGCCAGTACAGCCGTGGAGTAAAATTAAGTAAAGATACAGGCATGTAGGGGTGGGCGCGGGGAACGCAGGGGCGCGGCGGCAGGGCGCCCCGAGTGCCCTCAGTGTCGCGGAGGCTGCGGACGGTGCGCCGCCCGCCCTGCGCTACGTGTCGCCTTGCCAAAACATTGCTTCAAATCATATAAATTAATAACGGCTTGATTTTGTTTTGACATTTGCTCAACCAAAATTTATGAGAATATGTTAACCCTTCCAATGTTGTATATATTAAAGGTCTATTAACTCATACTAATTTGAATATTATTAATGTTATATTTTGGTGGTAACGTAAAGTGGGATTAAACAGTTTATCTTTCTTGTGAATTTGTTGAGTAAGGACTGCTGATAATTATTATATTTTTTTCATTCTTACGTAAGTATAACTAATTCGAGAACACCGGAAATATGGCCTAATATATAAAATTTATATACTCGTATATATAGTTATGTATAAATATATCATTTAAGATAAGAACAGTAATTAAAAAGTATAGTGGTAAAATATATTGCTTTTATACAAATTTAATAAATAGTACTCGTAGTTCATGTGAGAAGGGGTATGACTTATTGAGAGTTTTCTTCCTGTAGTACACCTAAATTTATCTATCGTAATTAATGTTGAAAAACTGTTCCGTAGAGAATATTTATTTATTCTTGTGTGTATGCAAAAACACAAAATATAACACAAGTGTTTATTGAAAAAGGTTGCCGTGGAAACATTTTATAAATTTGGTTGGTACTCAAAAACTAGTACATTATATTTAAAAAAAAAAAACTATATAGACGTTCTTCAAGAAAACCTTTTTTTTGTAATCGAAAGTTTATAACGTCCTTGTGTTCACATTCAAAGCCTTTTTGAGAGTTACACTTAGTACTGAAATATGCTAATAGTCTTTCGTAACTTTCAGATTACAAATCGTTTATTGCCTGTGTAAATTTTTTTACTCGTCGTGCTTCCGTAAATTATAAATGCTCACCCTAATACTGTACCCCAGTACAGTACCTAGTACGAAGAGCATTTTTTTTACCTATCATACTTATGGTCATTTTACTTTACTTTGGTTTAATTGGGTTTGGTTAATTTACTGACTGATTAGTATGATGGGTATGATTGGTGGATGATGAGTGATGGGTGGATTGGTATTAGTTGTGGCATGTCCGATTTCCGCATTTAGACGTGAGAGTGGTCCTTTATGCGTTTAGAAGAGGTTGGCTAGGTGAGCCAACCAAGCTCCTTCAAGTATGATGGGTAACAAAAAAGGGCGGGCATATTTAAATTAAATTCATATTTACCCGTTTTAGTATACCGCAAAGTACAGAACTACGGCGGGAATATTTTTACTCATCGTCCTACTACAGATGATAATTGAGTACGGTGCACAAGTAATACTGGTAGTGTCAAGAATGTCTCTGTTTCGCAGTAAAATAAATAAAAGTGTAAATGTCAAAGGCAAATTGTAATAAATAGCGTGATGTGACATTCCAACGATTATATTTTTTAATTAACAAGTAGGGGGCAAATGACTACCAGCTGGCTTACAGGCCTGGTGGAAGTGGAGGTGGAAGTTCTTTTCTCGAAGGATTAAAAGTCATATCGGTTGAGAAACAACCACATAAATCCCATTTACCCAAAGTTCTTTTTTAAATATATTCTCTGTAAATATTAAAAAAATAAAATACCTGGCGCAGTGGTCTATGTGATGACGGATTGAGAATATCACCACCCCTATTTATCCCGTGGGTATCGTAAGAGCCGACTAAGAGAGCAAACTACGCAGGACAATGGCACTGCAAAGAGAAGCAAAACTTGAAACAAACCCTATACCAACCCGTCTGGCCAGCGTGGTATAATAGACCACACCTTCCTTTCTAAGGAGAGGCCTATGTCCTCTTTATAATGGTATGAATAATCGATCCCTTCCTAAATTCATTATAAAAAGGATCGTTAATAAACGATCCTTTTTATAATGGTATGAATAAGTTCGTTTATAGTCAGTTGCCTTCGGGGCGTCCAATAATCCTGACTGTGTGCGGACTGCATGGTATTAGGGTGTGCACGACTATGTCTCCAATGTGTATCGTTTCGTTAATGAACATTCTATTTTTGCCGGCTGATTAGGTAGTTTCAAGATTCTGTAGAGCTTCTCTAAACACAGTCTCAGATAAGGGGTTCCATATTCTGCTCTTAAATTGCTATAGCAATGTGTGTCGATATTCTGTATCACCTCATAAGCCTTCACAGTAAGACCGCGATCTGCTGGTGACTTAATCTATGTTGGTTGTCATATTATTATGGCTAAGTTCTTCTAAGTTTAACAGACCAACGCAACGCAACCAAGAAAAAATGTTGGCATCATGCTTTGCTGGAGGCGAGGGCATATTGGCTAGCAAAACAATACGAGTATAATGCTAAGGAAATATATATAAGGCTGTTAAGGAAATATATAATAGAACATAATACCGAAATTCAATTTACGTGAAGTGAAAGACGTAAGACAATTTCGCTTTATCCCGAGCAAGGACTAGGTGCAGCATCGAAGTAAATCTGTTAAAAGGCTAAACCCCCAAATTTTACAAGCAATCGTATCTTTTGGAACTTTTGGAATAATCGGAACTCTCTCTTGAAGTATGTTTACGAAACGCTAGCTTATAATAAAAATAATATATAATTAGTCAGTACAACTAATTATGGAGTCTGCTATTCATATTAAATAAATCCTCTGTTAGGAATCGCCGTAGATTTTCGTACGTGTTTTTTAAATACGATTATTATTTAAGTGTATGCAACTACGACACGAGATTTCAAACTCAGTGAAGTTAAACATATTCTCAATTCTGTGGGTAGTGCGACGGGCAAAAAATACCACTTATATGTAGTTACATAGGCAATAAACGTTTAAAAGTGAAACATGCTCCCTGAAGTTCATCCTAAGAGCTGCACTCATTTTCGAAGAAGGTCGCCCCTTGACTGGAGAGCTTTACAGTCCTTGTCCAATTATAGATGTTTTTAGTAAAAGCTATCTCAGGGCTCTCTTGGGAAAATAAAAGTCCGAGCTTAGGATGTAGGTGTAAAATTCCTATATATTTTATAACTTTATGGCTCTTATTTATGTGGCCAGTTCTATTTGACTATATAAACGAATTTAGTACGTTCTTAATTATTAGACGTGCATAATAGTTGCAGACAGACAGACAGACATCACCCTTTCTTATTCATTGCCATACGCTCAAGAAAGTGAAAGAAACAACATCATGTTTCTATTTAAAAAGAAAATATATTTTATTTTGTTTTGCCAGGTATACTGAACATTTTTGATCTACAAACATTGTGGTAGTGCCAAAATTAGATTACAACTTACTCTAATAACAAGAACACTTACGAATAAACATGAAACAACACAACAGCAAGCGCACAATGAGAGACTTTCTGTTAACGACGACAGCTCTAATCTTGTCATTAGCCGGCGCGTGTTACTGTGAGCTGACTTTACCTTCCAAAGCCGAGATTAAAGCAATATCGAGTTCCCAAGCCCCACCAACTAATCCACTTACAAAGCTTTACTCAAAAACATTAGAGTCCACGGTACCCTATACGACTACATTTTCAACTACGAAGAAAAGCCCTAAAACAACAATAGGACATACGGCGACTGAGAGCCCAGTCACACCGAGTCATTCATCTACAAAAAAGTACACAAGCACAAAGAGGGTACTTAAAAGTGCAAGAACGCAAAAGTTAAACTCTAGATCTAGGGCTCTCGAGACGGCTGCGCACTCAAAGACTCGGCTTCAAGAACGACTGGCTGCTTTAGATTGCGATCTGCCCGTGCTACCAAGGGAATCCCGGTTGTGGCGCGGCAATGAAACTCATGAACTTAATTTACCCGTCACCGTAAGTATTAATATAATTGCTTTTTATTGATAACGCTTCATTTTAGATGTTAGTTTATTTATAGAACGTCCTTATGGTTTTTAGGTTCTCCTCTTTATATGTTATCTAAACTATGAACCTAACTTGATTTGTATTTCGTTGAAAAACTTATGTCGAAAATAACTTTTCAGATTGTAAACATATTTTAATTAAAATGCTCAGCGTTGTTCGACCCTTGCTCGTTTCTTTGTTTTATAATTTTGGTTTCTGATTTTTTTTAAAATATTTTTTTATTCTGTGCAAAACTATCTATAACAGTCTCTTTTGTATCTAAACATTTAACAAAAAGTATTTATGATAACTTGATATTTGGTTATGTCATGAAGTAGCACAATTATAAAATCATTTTTGATTTTTTTAAGCTATTGCATAGCTTCTATTGCGGGCCTTGAGCGTGGAGAATCCAGAAATTCCGTAACGAAAATAACCTAACACCCGCCACTCCGACCGGCACAGCGGTGATACTTTTTAGTTTTGCCATCTATCGATCAATAGCAGAACTTCTAATGACTTTATTGAAATATCACGCTTGTCTCTTTAGTTCAGCAACTCGCCTCTAGGTGGCATTGATTGTGACGCGGTATTTTCCAGATATTTAGAAGATATCAATCTCAAACTTATGTTTCTTATTTCAGTTACCATAAACCTATAGTTTCAATGATAAATATTCCTGAATAACCTACATGTATTGTAAGATAATAAAAATATTTTGAACAATATTAACTTCTCATTCCAGCAGTGGACTAGTATAGGCTGTTGATGTGTGATGATGTGATGAACTTCTCATTTATTTAATATCGGTTACCACGCTCAAAAGTGTAACTTGAATTAATATCAAAGAAAAAAAAACAAAGGAAGAAAAACTGCATAAATAAAATAAATAAATAATTATAATTGCATAAGTTGATAAAAAATGCTATGCAATAGGTTTACCGCGGCAGTCCCCGAGTGCCACACGTCTTTTTTTATACATTTACTTTTATTTAAATATTGACAAATAGTTGTTGTAAGATGTTATTTCTGTCGTTTTTTTTGTAGTCAAGAAGTTATTTAAATTCAAAATCTCAATAGAAACAACTTATAATGATGAATTATAAGCAATGGGTTTGTCGGTGTGCGTCAAACCAATCCTATATTTGCAAAATTGACAGATCAATGTAACCAAGCTGATTATTAAATATAAATGTCAAGAGACGTGCTCTGAAAGTGTCAGATTTTAACTAAACTTAGTTAGAGCTAATATTTTCCAAGTATGTTGCATCGCTACATAATATGTAGTGGATCACTAAGAACTTGAAATTTGAAACCAATAATAAGACAATAAATAATATTCATACTAAGATTCATACTTCGTAACTGTATGTGCACATTGTACATTAGGTAAATATGAATGAAAAATAAATTTAAATCACCGTGATATTATCTAGGGGGGTGGGGGGTGGAGGGGCGAACCACCATCTTGCGCCCCAAGCCAACCTCACCTGCCCTCGGTGCATCCTGCTGAACGACGAACGAGTCTCTGGCGACCGACCGATGGCGCAATATCCATCCCAATAGGCGTAGCTAAATACAACAGGCCGGGGACGGACAGCAGCGTCTCCGGTGCGACGAGCTACGCCCTGCCATCGCCAACCCGCCTGCCCAGCGTGGCGATAATGGACAAATCCTCCCCATGCAGATGCAACAAAGGCCACTGCCCCCAGTTCCCGGCGGCCCCGCCATTCCCGTTAGTCGTGGTGGCGACCACGGTAACGGTAACGGGAAAGGTGCAGGGGGTTCGGAGAATCTCCGGGCAACAGTAGGCCACCACAACCGACTGACCCTGGCTACGTATAACGTATGACGCACGTTACGGCTAGACTCGCATCTGGCGCAACTTGGGAAGATTAGGTGGCATATCTTGGGGCTATGTGAAGTCCGAAGAGAGGAGAAGAACACCATAACCCTTGAGTCAGGCTACTTAATGTACTTCCGCGAAGGAGACCAACAATCCCAAGATGGCGTTGGGTTTCTGGTAAATAAGTCCCTTTCTGATAACGTCCTGACTTTTCTGACAACGCAGCAAATCGGTAGTAGGATCCCATGGATTTGGAAGCGGAAATCATAGGGGGCGAATGCTCGTCAACTTCGTCGAACGAGAGGGGCTCGTTTAGATGAACTCTTTCTTCAAGAAACAGCTACAAAGGAAGTGGACTGTGCAAAGCCCCGACGCTATGACCAGAAATGAGATCGATTTCATCATGACGGATAGGAAGCACATATTCAGAGACGTCTCAGTAATCAATAGGTTTAACACCGGTAGTGATCACTGACTTGTCCGAAGCTCTCTGAATATCAACTTGAACTGTTGTGGATCCTCAGGGAAGAAGGTACGAGATTTTTTATAACGCAGCGTAAGGGAGCGTTCAAGTATTACGTAACGCAATTTGGGGTGGAGGGGGTTTCGTAAAACGTTACGATGCGTTACAGGGGCGGGAGGGGGTCTTTCTTACAACACGTTACGTAGGTACCTAACATTGTTTCTAAAAAATTAGGGAATTAAACTAAACGCAAACTGGCAACCCTTTTCATTTACGTTACGGGGAATCCCTCGATTGTATTAGTCTAGTCGTCATTTTGGCATGCCTTAAGCGCGAGCGTAGGTATGCTCTACTCTCACCTAAAAATTCAAATCACCGATCACGTGGCGTTAAATCGTAGTTAAATCAATAATATGCATATAAATGGGATAAAAAACACATTATTAAGGAAAGAAATTATTAAAAATCAAATCAAATTCAAAAATCTTCAAAAATTGCGTTACGTAATACTTGAACGCTCCCTAAGGGCAGGAAGTCGAAGCTTTCAGAATTGACCCTAGCTAGATACGCTTCGCAAGCATCTCGACCTGATCCCGAAAATGAGGACTCCAGAGCCACATTAACACGTCACTACACCGAAAACCTGCCAGAAGTTAGCACTGACGAAATCGAGATGGAATAGCCCCTGGAGAGGATGGAGGAGGAGGAAAATCCCGTACTGATCGACATCTCTCACTTGCGATTTGCAGACGACATCGTCATCATGGCAGAGACGCTGCAGGACCTACAACAGATGCTGAATGACCTACCTGACTCTTCTGTACGCATCGGCCTACGGATGAACTTGGATAAAACATGTCATGTTCAATGAACATGTACTACCGGAACCGATTGCGGTACACGGTGCCATTTTCGAAGTTGTTCAAAATTATATGTGCCTCGGGCAGACAGTTAGGTAGAAACAACTTTGAGGATTATGAACAGAAGAATTCAGTTGGGTTGGGAAGCATTTGGGTAGCTACGTCGAGTCTTCTCATCGTCGATCCCATAGTGCCTTAAGACGAAAGTCTTCAATGAGTGTGTCCTACCCGTCATGACATACGGCGCCGAAACGTGGACACTTACGGTACTGCTGGTCCATAAGATCAAAGCCGCTGAACGTGCTATGGAAAGCGCTATGCTCGGCGTTTCTCTAAGGGATCGCATCAGGGATGAGGTGATCAGGTGAGAACATAGTGACATAGCCTACCGGATCAACAAGCTAAAGTGGCAATGGGTTGGCCATATTAGCTCCAGAACCGACAACCGTTGGGGAAAACAAGTTCTCGAGTGGAGACCGCGTCTCGGCCAACGTAGTGTAGGACGCCCACTGGCCTGGTGGCCTGGTGACGATTTGCGCAAGATGGCTGGCAGGACCTGGATGCAAGAAGCCCAAAATTGATCTAAGTGGCGTGCAATGAGAGGTCTATGTCCAGCAGTGGACTGCGATAGGCTGATGATGTGATATTATCTGTCACGGTGATTTAAATTTACGTTCAATTTACGTTTCAACAAATACGAATGGTTATTTACATATTGAAACCAGATATAAGATCTTATCGGGCGTAGTACAGCAAGTGTATTTTAGATATATTTAAGTTACTTTCTTATTATCTGAATAAACAAGTAAGTATGTATGTTGTGAACTAATAAAACACGTTTCTAAAGTATTTAATCTGACTCACAGGAATATCTCTATATCATTTTATTTTTGTAAATTGTGAACTCTTTGCTTTTATAGCGCTATAAGACTCCATTTTACCTGCTATATTTTCTACTCTCATGGTATAAAATGTTATGACAATTTAGTGCTCTGCCTCTAGATTCTTTTACACTACCATTTTATCATCAGGTCAGAACAAGTGGGAATCATATAAACAAAACCTATGCCGTTTATATAATGGCTCAGTTTTTTTAAACTTAAAAGAATAATTGAAGTCTTGGTTTTGAAATGTGTGCTTGTTAATATTTAAAGCTGCAGTTATACAGCTTTACCACAGAGTTTCACTAAACGCTTCTGAGATTTTTCTCTACAATACACGTCCAGAAAAATCCTAGAATAGCGTTTGAATATGCTTAGGCTTAACATTCATAGCTTCATTTTAAAGTAGCTCTGAATTGTTACACAAAGTTAAAGTAATTCGGTATTCGATACCAAATTATGCCCAGTCTATTCTAAGAGATCTATACAACATTAATCCGACAAGATGGACTATTTAATGGACAGCATGGCATCAACCGCTATTTTTTTTGACTTACAACATCATGATAATATTTAGTTATTTTTTTAAGTTTAATTTTATAATTTTTCAATAATAGATATAAGTATGTATATATAGAGAAGGAAAACTTGAAACAAACCCTATACCAACCCGTCTGGCCAGCGTGGTATAGTAGGCCAAAACCTCCTTTCTAAGGAGACCCCTATGTCCAGCAGTGGACTAGTAAAGGCTGTTGATGTGATGATGTGATGATATATCGATATTTAGTGACTGACTCTGATCTGATGGCTGAGCTCAAGCGGGGCTTCAAGTATAATATGATGCGTTTGCAGTCAGTTTGGTAAACATTACCGAACATTTTAATATAAAATAGAATAAATTATCTTAGCCTTTTTAAGAA